ATGGCTTGGGTCAGGCGCACCTTAGTCCTCAAGCTGACATCTTTTTTCTTCAACACTTTAAAAAGGTCTTGTGCAGCAGATTTGCCTAATGCAATACATCCTTTGATTTCTTGACTGCTGCTTCCATGAGTGTTGATAGTTGATCCAAGAAGAATGAAGTCCTTGACAATTTCAATCTTTTTGCCATTGATAAGTATGTTGTTTATTGGACCAATGGTGAGGATTTTTGTTTTCTTGACATTGAGATGTAATCCATACTGAAGGCTGTGCTCTTTGATTTTAATCCATAAATGTTTTAAGTCCTCTTCACTTTCAAGCAAGCAAGGCTGTATCATCTGCATATTGCAGGTTGTTAATGAGTCTTCCTCCAATCCAGATGCCACGTTTTTCTTCATAGAACCCAGCTTCTCAAATTATTTGCTCAGCATACAAGTTGAATAAGTATGGTGAAAAAATACAACCTGTCACACACATTTTAAAATTTTAAACCATTCAGTGTTCCCATGTTCTGTTAGAACCACTGCTTCTTGGTCCAGGTACAGATTCCTCAAGAGTGCAATTAAGTGTTCTGGAATACTCATATTTCGCAATGTTGTCCATAGCTTGTTATGATCCACACAATCGAAAGCCTTTGTATAGTAAATAAAGCACAGGTAAACATCTTTCTGATATTCTCTGCTTTCAACCAAGATCCATCAGACATCAGCAATGATATCCCTCGTTCCATGTCCTCTTCTGAATCTGGCTTGAACCTCTGGAAGTTCTCTGTCAATCAATGTATAATTGTAGCCATTTCTGCATTACCTTTAGCATAACTTTATTCGCATGGGATATTCAAAGAGATTGTCCGAAGATTTCTGCATTCCATTGGGTCACCTCTCTTTGGAATGGGCACAAATACAGATCTCTTCCAATCAGTGGGCCAGATAGTTGTCTTCCAAATTTATTGGCAGAGATGAGTGAGTCCTGTGCCGCTTCACTTTCTTGAAAGATTTCAATTTTTATTCCAGCAATTCCTGGTGCCTTGTTCTTTGCCAATTCCTTCAATGCACCTTCAGTATCATTGGCTCTTGATCATATGTTACCTCTTGAATGGTTGAACATTAACCATTTCCTTTTGGTACTGTAACTCTGTGTATTCCTTCCATCTTCTCTTGATGCTTTCTGCATCATTCAATAATTTGCCCATAGAATCTTTCAATAGCTAGTGCAACAGAAGATACATCTTCAAAGAAAGATCAGCAGGAAAAACCCAAAACAAAAATGCAGTATGATTGGTTACTACAAGAACAAGCAAGTTGTTCACCATCAGGGCAAGCAACCAAGTCCCTTCAGGAAAAGTCCCCTCCAAGACTGAAACTCAAAGGGAACACATCAGCAAGTATGTAAGCTTGCTGGCAAACACATTGGTCTACTGGTGAGTGGAAGAAGGGGAAAGGCAACAATGAGGAAATGGGCTGAGTTCAACCACATTCCATAGACTCCCATTGATCTGGAGATAAGAGAGAAAAGAGGAAGGGCTGGTTGGTCTAAAGTGTGGTAATTCCTGGGGACACGTGAGCCCATGGACAAGGACATAGCCACAGAGGGTTAAAGCTGAGAGTGAAGCATCCAGCTGATA